CGGGGAGGGAGGAGTGGAGGAGGCGGTGGACGCAGAACCGCCCGTGCATGTCCTTCCCCTCTACGCGATGCTCCCACCCAAAGCCCAAGCAGCGGTGTTCCTACCCCCTCCCTCCCCGCGCCACCGCCGCATCGTGGTCGCCACCAATGTGGCAGAGACCTCCCTGACTCTTCCGGGTATCCTGTACGTGGTGGACTGCGGGAGGGTCAAGACCCGGACCTTCGATCACGCCTCGGGCGTTTCTCGTTACGAAGGTAGGCCCTTCTTTGGGGGGTTAGGGTTAGGGTCAGGGTTACCCTGGGACACAGACGGTGGAGGGCGTGTGGCGGAGGGCATAATTTGTGGTCCTTCTGGTTGTCTTGTGCTGGAACAAGCCTCATTCCTGTCTTTCGTGGGAAAATCATGCAGGGGGACCAGCTGCCCTCTGTACTACTGTTCGGTTTAATTTTTACCCTGCGAGCACTCATGTCTTTCTTTCTTCCTCCCTGCCTGAGCTATCTTTCGCCTGCCGCACGCTACACACGCGTGACGCCACCGTCTTCCTCCTCGACCCTCTCCCCCTTTATCAACGTACTTCTGTCCTCTTTCTCTTTTCCCAGTGCAATGGATCTCACAGGCTTCGGCAGACCAGCGGGCAGGTCGTGCAGGGCGCACTGGGCCTGGCCACTGTTACCGGCTTTATTCCTCGGCGGTTTTTTCTCAACGGCTCAGCCATTTCACGGCCCCCGAGATTTTGAACTTGCCGTTAGAAGACGTTTTCTTGCAGGTGGGATGGCAGGGGCACTTTTTTAAGGGCTGTTAAGTGGCGTGCTTCGTATTCAGGATGACGTCATCACTAAGCCATGCCCATTTTCCGTTCGCATGCAACTGTCTGACCCCCCGCACAATGTCTCCCCTTTTCACCCCTTCACCCGCTCCCTTCCCTTTGTTCCCTTAGATGAAAGCCTTGGGCGTGCCCTTGATTGAAAACTTCCCCTTCCCGACGCCTCCGGAAAAGAAGGCGCTGCAAGCAGCTGGGGCCCTATTGGGAGATCTTGGGGCCATAGGAAGGAGGGAAGGGGAGAGAGAGGGAGGGTTGACGTCGCTCGGTCAGGGCATGGCTACCTTGCCGGTAGGGGTGAGGAGTAGCAAAATGCTGCTCTTGGGCAGGAAAATGTTGGGGAGGGAGGAAGGAAAGGAGGGGGAGGGGAAGGGAGGAATGGCTCTGATGGTAGCTTTAGTGGCGGGTTTAAGTGAAAGAGATCCATTCGTCTTTCCTGATGGAAGGGAGGGAGGAGGAGGGACGGGAGGAGGGGAAGGCGAGGGCGAGGAAGGTGAAGATGAAGCAGGGGAGGAGGACGAGGAGGAGGTCTTGCTTCGGGAGAAGGCCAGAGCCTTGAAGCTGGAACGCTTTCGTCAGTGGCATCATCCCACCAGCGATGCTCTCGCCAGGCTCAGGGCTGTGGGTGCCTACACCTACGCTCACAGCAGAGGTAAGAAAGCGGGGAGGGAGAGGAGGAGGG